TTGCAAACATGATTCTAGACGCCGTCTTGCATGTTCTGAGTTTGATTTATCCTTTGCAATTTCAGGGAACATCTCAAACACCCGGGTTTTCAAGTGCCACCAAATGTGCTCAATTGGGTTGAGATCGGGTGAGTAGGTGTGGAGTTCTCACTCCGTGCCCTGGAATAGGGGCGCTGGTTTCACTGATGCCCCAGAGCTGCCTCGCCCTTGGGCTGGTGAAACAGGGCACTCCAGCCCCTGAATTAGCTCAGGGGAACAGTGTCATAGTATATAGAGTAGTTATGGTAGCTACTTTAATCGATATGCATTTTACTTCTGATTAATTAGGCCTTACTTATTTACTATTCTACTGAACCTACTAAGCGCACTTCAACAGTAGGGCGGCCACCTATAGAGTGTAGTAATTATATGCTCCTCAAGAAAGTCTATAACCTTACCTGTAGTTAGTATGGATAGGAGCATTATCTTGCATAAATGAGTAGCTAGAGTCAAGAGAATCAAAAATAGGGAGGAGTTCTGCTTCTAGAACCTCAAGGTATGAGTTTGCAGTATATCCAAACTTCTTTGACTTAAAAGTCACGGTCTATGAGGTATAAATTGCTCCTTCTGCCTAAAAGCCCCCTAAACCATGATCTTCATGTTCTTCTTTGTACAGAGGAAGCGTTCAAAAGTTTTGTCCCACGCTAGGAAACGCCACAGTTCACAATTTAGTTATGTATATAGTTATGAAATCAGTGTTCTTCTCGCCCCTCCTTGTCCTCATTTCCGCCTTCTAGCTGGATGACTTTCTGGATATGTCGAGGAATCCTCTCGACCCAGACTTGGATTTGCGACTGAGGGAGATCTTCCCAACAGGTCTCCCAAGCTCGTATCGTGTCTGGTCGACTTTTTGGTGCCCCCTTCCTTGTCCATGACCAACATGGCTCGATGACATTTAAATCTGGAGAGTTGGCGCACCAGAAGAGGCGATTAATGTCATGTAATTGAAATACTCGCCGCTGAATGTAATGATTGTGTGATGGAGCGTTGTCTTCTTGTACAATAGTATCCGGACGGTCTACCATGCATTCCCTTGCGAATGGGAACATCTTTGGTATCAGAATCTTTTTCTGATACCGGTACCAATCTATCCCCCCTCCTCCTTTCTCACTTAACTTCCCATTCTTCTTATTCCATCTCCATAGTGGCTTTATACCAGGAAGATTGCGTAGAGACATTCGGCGTATCCCATTTGATAATTCCCATTCTTCACGTAAAATTGGTTCCAACTCTTCATTCATTCCATGTATTTCAACTTCTGCAGCGTCTCGTTCTTTTTTTGTCTCTGGGATCCAACAATGACATGGCCCTTTCTTGTCGTAAGTAAAACATCCCCAAAACATAAATTCTGAGTATCATTTCCACCGTTCCCTAATGCAACTACGTAAAAATGCCTCATCTGCCTTTCTCCATATCCGATAACTTCCCGGTCTATGGTTTAGTACCACAGATGTCTTGTCTGACCAGTGCTGATGGTTGAGGCAGCATTTTAATCTCTCTGCCCTCATCTTCTTCGTCAACCCAGGCTTCCTCATAAGTTTCATTTTCTGGAAGCCAGCAGTCCTTAAAACCCTCCATATTGTCATGGAGGAGATGTCGATACCTTGCAAGCTAAGTTCCCTCATGATATCAGCACAAGTTTTTTCCCTTCCGTAACGGTCAGTTCACACCTTTGCGACAACTCCCTCTGTTGCTTCAACTGTCAGGCGGCCAGAGTGGGGAGCGTCCTGTAACCACTCATCTCGTAAGGTGAGTGGCATATGGTTGGGGTCAGCGAGCATATATCCGGTTGACCTGTCAGGTTGACAGGCCAGTTTTCTCAGCAACTTCCACTGAAGTCTTTCCTCCAGTCAGAGATTTGAGGGCCACAATCAGGGCCCTCGTCGAGATATCCATGTTCGGTGCCATCATCTGAACTTTAAAGGCACTGTCGATTGTCAGTCAGTTCGTCAGTCGCAAGTGAGGGGAAGTTATGCATACCTTGGCATTCTTGGCAGGACAAAACGCTACCTCCGTACGTACTGTAGGTTTGGATCAGCTCCCGCTGCCACTTCTAAGCAGGTGTGCGGAAACACCACTCGCTCCTGTTACCCTGCCCCCGCTTAACAGAGCACTTATCACTCCACACAACTTGACCCCAATCCTCTGCTGTACAATTCCTCCGTGCTAAACACCATGCAAGCCATTTAGCTACATGTATTAGCAGTACAGTAGAAAGGGTGACGTTTTGCACGCCAATTGCCGCTTCTTGTAGTATCCTCTTTATAGTTGATATTAAGATTCACTTCTTAGTATGTATCATTTGGGTTTAGGCGTACGTGGCAGAGTATAAGGCATTGCTCTGCTTCTGTGTATGACTTTCCCCATTGTGTACGGGGTAGGCTCTTGCCTTCGGTGCTTATTAGGTCAACTGCAATTGTATATCATACAGTGCTTCAGTCAAGGTTTAGGTCATGTGCAATCTTAGTAGGTGTTCCAATAATCTGCCCGTGTTGGTATGGGCTTAATTGGCCACCGGGCTGTCGATTCCCATCAATTGAAGCAAAAGCCCTCCGAGTTGGTGCCATAATTATGGTTGTTGTACAAGGAGGGGTGGGTTACACGACGCGATTTATGCGTCAAATTGGAATTCGGTTAATAGCAGTGGTCTAATCATGGGTGGAAGCAATGTGTAGCAACCCGAAGCGAGGGGAAGCAATATGCGGCAACTCAAATTGTGACTGTAAGTACCTAACCATAGTAATTTGTATGTAAAGGTACTTAAAAATTCCATTCTATGAAATTATCACTTCCTCATTCCCACTCTCACTGTCACTCCCACGCCCACTCCCACGCCCACCCTCACTCGCACTCTCATACTCGCTCTCAGTTTCAGCCTCTGGGTCAGTAATTAGGTCTTCCAACCCTGGAGGAATTGGAAGGCCTAATTCAGTGAACTGAGCCAGGCTCTTCTTCTGGAGGCGCTCCTGTTTCTGGGCTTCAATTCCTGCCCGGTGGAGCTGCTTCCGGGCTCAGTTTTTGGCCTGGCTCAGCTTCTGGGCTTCTGTGGCAGCGAGCTTCTGGGCCTGAAGCTCATGGGCTTCAGAAGCCCGGAGCTCACCTCCACACTGGAGTTGGCTCCAGCCCCGGCCCCCCGCTTCTTCTTCGAGTTCTTGACCTGCTGCCGAACAGCCCATAGGTCAAGTTCCTGGAGCTGGCTGGCTGCCAGAACCCGCTGGGTCCCAGTAACCCAGTTACTATAGCTCTGTTTTGAGGGGCTACTCCAGGCCTACTGAAGCAGGTCTTTCCAGCGCTGTAGCCCCTCCATCTCCTGAAAAGTAGATGGTATAGGCGTAATAGGCTGAGGTAGGGTAGGCGTAGTAGGCTGTGTAGGCTGCGAGTACGTACGTAGCTTTTCGATGGCTGTATTACAGCTTATTGGCCAGATTCCAGCTTTCTGGAAATCTGATCTTATGGTGGAATCCTCAAAAGTATGCTCCCGTATCTGTGGGAGATTCCTCATAAATAAGGGTAGGTTGTATGTAATATCCATCTCTCATATGGCATGGAGCACAGCCTGCCTATGCCAGTGCTTATAAGGTTGGAATATTCCCACGTCTAATGGCTGTAGAACGTGTGTGAGATGTGGGGGAAACGCCCATAAGATGATGTGATATTTGGCAGCTAGAATAATGAAATCATGGCTCGTATGGCTTACATGAGAATCGAGGAGTAGAAGCTTAGGATTTCCTGGATCATGTGGAGCAGTATGCTCTACAAAGTGCTGTAACCACCGTAGAGCAAGCTGGCTATTAGAATAGCCAGTTTCAGAGGGTAGTATCAGCTCATTCCCATCAAGGTTTTGAGGGTACCACACCTCCATATGAATTTTGCCCGGAACAACAAGTACGGGTGAAATCTTCTGTCCAGCTGCAGATACTGCCTCTATAATCATAATAGATATACGATTCTCAGGGCTTGAAGTGTAGAGCTGCTTTATAGCTCAGGGGACTATAACTCTCTCACCCCCTGGAATTCTGACCCTAAAACCAGTTTTGTCCATATTCCAGATTGACTCTGGATTTATACCATGCTGTAGTACAAATTCTGTGTACTTTTCGAACCACTTGACAATAGCAGGCTCCTCTTGGGCTTGCGTACGCTGCTGTGCAATAGGCTTTGATAAAATGGAATTCTAGAAGCTCATTCCGGATATATTTAGTGAGCCAGCTCTGTGATGGTGGAGGCAGTGGGCTCCATAGGTGGCAAACTGCCCTGTAAACCATATGCCTATTAGCTCCTAGCCCTAGGTAATACTGCTCTAAAATCCATTCCTTAAGGGCTTCTGTCTGAGCTGTAGAAAGCACCCTATTCTTATCCCCTCGTAACGGCTTCTGTAGGTGTAGGCAGCTGACGCTTGACTCTATGGTCGACCTAGGGATGTGGAAATTCTGACTTGCAACACCTGCAGATTCAGAAGGGTTTTCTAACAGCCATTTACAGGCATTTGATAAAGGAGTATCTTCCATTATATGACTTACACTAAATTACTATATAAAATACTATGTACGGGAATGCTGAGGGTTTTGGTGAGGAGTAGCAGTGAACATATGCACGTTGAATTTGAGTTGCCGCATATTGCTTCCCCTCGCTTCCAGTTGCCGCACATTGCTTCCACCCACGATTAGTACTGTATGTACAGTACAGTTCTCATGCGATAAGTCGATACTTGATTAGGCGATATTCACGCTAACTCGATATTCTTTGTAGGATTCTTTATTTTCCCACCAAAACTACGATACACTCGATATCGAACTGATTTGACCAGATATTGTCTTATACCGACATTACATAGGCCAAGATGCCTCAAAATCAGCTGTTTACAATGATGATTGAGCAGCATCGCGCACTCTGAAACTGGTATGCTCACCAGTCAAAAAAGCCATCTCAAAAAGCCTCTATCGACTGGTTCTTTGGAAGCTTCAGCCATCGTATTCGACAGTCAACAGTCTCCAAATCTTTGAGCGCGTTTTGACGAATCCGTTCCAGGATACAAAAATTTCCTTCGTTCCTTGGCTAGCTAAGGTGTTGCATTTTCCGTCGGGTGTTTGATGGTTCATGTAGTCGGCGAGGTAGTTAGAGATCCATTCTGAGGCTGGTCCTCGAAAGAGTGCCACAGCCCATAGGACCTGTTCCACTTCTTTGTTGAAGTGTTTGGCGTTAAACGCCATCCATAGCTCCGTCTGGATGATGAAGCTCTTAAGCTTCTTGCGATCACCATGAAAGGTGTCTGGGAATGCAATCTTCAATTTATCTGAAGGGTGAGCCTGTGGGGTTTCGATGGTAGGTTCAGTAGCAACCTTCCCCTTCAATCCAACATTTGATCCAGTATCATCTCCAGCCATGTTGCTTTGTGTGTAAGCCGGTACCTCGTAGAAGTGGTGCTCAAAGTGTAACGCTGACTTCTAAACGATAGAAGACACAGAGGTTTCTTGCGTAAGGTTGACTTGACAGAGGAGGCAGGGGATTAGACACAAAGGCTTTCCAAGTAACACGTTACAGTATTGTAAAGAATACTATATTGAGTTGAGCACGAAGCTCCTATCTAAGGAAATACTATCTACTTATATAGTGGCGTCGTGCCTCATGGGTAATCTGGATAGTTGGCGGATAGCTAGATATTCAGGATAGTTCATGGATAGCTCAACTATCCAATATCCACTAGTTTCTGCAACTGTCCATTAGCCCCGTCACATGGCAGCCTACCCCGCTTGCCCCCTGTGACTAACTCGTCACGTTACTAGGCCCTGGTCCTGTAACCATGACGTCACGTTACTGTAGCCATAACAGAACTCCTGCGTGAATTCGATCAAGCCAGGCTGTTGACCGATATCATGCTCGTAGCGGCGGAAGTCAAATCGTTCTGGATAGAAGCCAGTGAATTCGAAATCGATGAAACATGTGATTTCAAGGGTTTCAGGGTTTACAAGTATATTTCCTTGGTGAAGGTCCATGTGACAAAATTTGTATGCGGCCGAATCAGCATCTTCGAGGAGCCATTGGCATTTTTCAGAAGGAGTTCGATTAAGGACGCTGTATGGAGGGCACACAATTCCAGTAGCAGCACCACCAAGTCGTCAAGGTTTCAGTAGGTGTAGTTCGTCCAAGTATGGTGTAATGGTGGGTGCACCAGATGTGAGAATCTAGCCACCCAAGGAAGGGATGATTTTACTAAGACAACACACTGTCTTAGGAAAAAGAGCCAAAGTGTCGTAGCTTAGACTATTCCACAACGCAGCAATCAGGTGTATGATATAGTGGAGTGGTTTAGACAAGTTGTAACAAATGTTGAGTCTGAGAACTCAGGGGTAAGTCAGAGGTTAGCACCTCACTGACTTTTCAGAAACAAGGAGTAACAAGATGAATGCTTGGAAGCTTGGAAAAGACGTGGAAGTATGTGATAGTCGATTTACTGTATTGTCTGCTTGCCCTTTCTTAAGGAAAGGGCAATCCTATTTATGCTAAAGGAGTGTAGTTCTCTCATTTTCCAAGACTTTCCATGACTAACCAGGCTTGGTAACTGTAGTCGACGTAAGAGAATCCCATAGAACCATCTCCTAGCTTCCTAGCCTATAGGAAGTGAAAGGAGGTCCAAGGTAAGAGTACCCCTATAGACAGATTATGTCATAACTTAACCAATCTTGTGGGTAACTAAGGAGCGATGATGTGTAATGAATCATAGAGGGTTGTAGAAGCTTTTGGAGCTATCGTTCATGTTCCTAGGCCTCTAGTTGATAGAGATATGTCATGTGTAGTATTAGCCCAGTAACTAAGGAGTGATGTCATGTAATGAATCATAGAGGGTTGTAGAGATACGCTATGTGGTCATATCGGCCCAGTAACTTAGGAGCAATGACGTGTAATGAATCATAGAGGGTTGTAGCAATCGTTGAGTAGTATTGCTCTTGTTGTTGGTGTGATAAGCCAAAATATGTATAGTGACTTGTAGGTTTGAGGAGGAGATTTCTAAGTTTGCTCTTGAGTTTGATAGCAAACTGAGTGCAACGAATGTCAGTATGACACGTAGGATGGAGGAAGACCCTGTGTCGGAGGGGACTCTGGCCTGCTCTTTGTGTTGGGTTACTTCGACCTTTCGTTTCTCATGGTGGTAGCTGCTTGTTGTGACGCCGGTGAGACGTTTGGGAAGGGTGGCTCGCGCAAGGGTTCCGGTGGTGAAGGCGCCTTGGCTCAGAGGGCTTATTTTAGAATCGTGGGTAGCAATGACTCTGTTTTTTGCGCTTTGTCGTCCCTTTCGTGATTGTAGTCTTGTCCCGTCTCCCATGCCGTAACCCACCTGAGTAGTTCCTGTGGTGGTCTTGGTAAATGTGGGTACTCCGTGTGAAGCTCTCTGAGTTTGTGGGGAGAGTTGATGAAGTTCGATGCTGGGTACCACTCTGGGTCCAGATCGTATCCTACCCAACTAACCCGGTATTGTAGTTGCTTCTGTCAGAGCCTCACGGCGAGGATCTTTTCCACTTCCCATTCCTCTATGCCATCTATAACTTTGCTGCTAGGCTCAGGCGGATCCTGACCAGGTAGGGGGTTTCATGAGGACATCTGGTGAGAACACATCATGTATTTGAGAACCGGTAGGTAGTTCCAATCGAAATGCATGCCCAATCCGTTCCAACAACGTATATGGTCCGACCCATTGTTGGCCCAACTTGTGGCTAGGGCGAGAGTTACTTAAATTTTTAGTTGATAGGTACACTCTATCGCCTACATCCCAGTTGATGGCCCTTCGGCGTCGATTCAGTGCTTAGACATTTCCTCTTCTGCCTTTGCCATGTTTTCCTTTGCGTGGACCCATGCGGTATGCATTCGATCTGCAACCGCAGCCCCATTTGACAAGCATAGCGCCAGCTCCGCGCTTTTCATAATCAGGATGGGTGGCTACAGTATCCAGGTCTAGCCCCGATCCCAAAAGTCAGCAACCATTTCTCCAAATGTCCAATTCTGTAGGCAAGGGTGGAGGGGCTCATTCTATAGTAGTTCTTCACGTCGCCCATCATTCACTTTCTAGCGTCGTAATAAAGTCCTCGCATGCCTCTTGGGGGCAGTTGTCATACTGACATTCGTTGCACTCAGTTTGCTATCAAACTCAAGAGCAAACTTGGAAATCTCCTCCTCAAACCTACAAGTCACTATACATATTTTGGCTTATCACACCAACAACAAGAGCAATACTACTCAACGATTGCTACAACCATCTATGATTCATTACACGTCATCGCTCCTTAGTTACTGGGCCGATATTACCACATAGCATATCTCTACAACCCTCTATGATTCATTACATGACATCACTCATACTACCACATGACATATCTCTACCAACTAGAGGCCTAGGAGCATGAATGATAGCTCTAAAAGCTCCTACGAACCTCTATGATTCATTACATGTTATCGCTCTTTAGTTACCCACAAGATTGGTTAAGTTATGACATAATTTGTCTGTGACATAATTTGTCTATGACATCATTTGTCTATAGGGGTACTCTGACCTTGGACCTCCTTTTACTTCCTATAGGCTACGAACCTAAGAGATGGTTCTATGGGATTCTCTTACATTGACTACAGTTACCAAGCCTGGTAAGTCATGGAAAGTCTTGGAAAATGAGGGAACTACATTCCTTTAGCATAAATAGGATTGCCCTTTCCTTAAGAAAGGGCAAGCAGACAATACAGTAAATCGACTATCACATACTTCCACGTCTTTTCCAAGCTTCCAAGCATTCATCTTGTTACTCCTTGTTTCTGAAAAGTCAGTGAGGTGCTAACCTCTGACTTACCCCTGAGTTCTCAGACTCAACATTTGTTACAACTTGTCTAAACCACTCCACTATATCATACACCTGATTGCTGCGTTGTGGAATAGTCTAAGCTACGACCCTTTGGCTCTGTTTTCTAAGACAGTGTGTTGTCTTCGTAAATTCATCCCTTCCTTGGGTGGCTAGATTCTCATATCTGGTGCACCCAACATTACAGCAGTCTGGATGCCATGGTGGAAGGCATATCCAGGTCCCACATGCCAAACGCGACGATACGCGGCCGGCCCTGCTTATCCTTCGATTCCGGGTCGACTATCCGTAGGTACTTGGTGCTGGGCCTTGTAAGTTGCCCAGATGCCAGTCCCAGTGCCACTCGCATATGCCAGGAGTGTCGGGGAGTAGCTTCCTGATTGACGGTTGCGTGAAGGCCGCGAACCAGACGTCAAAGATGGTGGGGACATCTTCCGCGGTAGCCAGCTCGAGCATGAGAGGGTTGGTAGTTGGTCCCATATTGGATGATGTTTCGGCCAGCCTGAATGCCCGTCATGCTGTGCCGCGTCTGTTTAGAGTGATTAACAGCTCTTTGATAGAGGGGGGGTCAAATGGAAGCGGGGTGGTGCGAACAGATATATTGTTAGACAGGTGAGGGTTACAGTCAGCACAGATAGGGAGGGTTTGCATATATCGCACTTGATAATAGACTTGCGCATATATACGAGTTAAGCTCGTAATCACTAATTCTAACTCATGTAGCCTCTTTTTAGTTAACACATCTCGACCAATAGACCTTTAATCAACCCACAAAAAGGATCGTATAACTCTAGTGCTTAGGTCTACAAAGATGGCCATTTTACCAGTGTTAAAGTGCTATAGCTCTGTACGATCTAATCGTCAGTGTTCGCACCGACCACCTTACAGGTGGTCGGCGAAAGCGAAGTGCATCCGGAAAGCGAAATTGCATCCCGCCAGCCAGATATCATTAGTATGTAGAATCTAATATAACGTGCATGTATAACGAAAGTGCCAAACAAGCGAAAGTGCCAAAATCATGCGGTGACCAACCCCCCCAACTAAATGTTAAATTCCTCCACAACAAAACATGCGCCATAAAAATGATGAAAGCAAATTAGTGCTAGCTATCCAAGCTATGCAAAGCGACCCAAATTTGCGCCTTTGAGTTGCAGCTAGGATCTATTCCGTAGACCACCGCAAGCTACGTCACCGTTTACAAGTCGTACCTTCACGACGCGATATCCAAGCCAACTTACGGAAATTAAGTAACCTAGAGGAATCAGTTCTTGTTCAGTATATACTTGTTCCCTCCTCAGTTGTCTATTGTTGAAGATATGGCAAATCAACTACTTGCAACACGCAACACGCCACGCATCGGGTCACGTTGGGCTTCAAACTTTGTTAAGCGCCATGTAGAGCTTCGGACACACTTCCAGTGAAAATACGACTACCAGAGGGCTAAGTGCAAAGATCCAGAAGTCATTCCTGGCTGGTTTGAGCTTGTATGGAACACAATTCTAAAGTATGGCATCAACAATGCAGATATCTACAACTTTGATGAGACTGGGTTTATGATGGGCGTCATCTCAAGCGCAACGGTAGTAACAAGCTCAGATGGGCGGGCAAAGGCAAAAAAGGTGCAGCCTGGCAATCGGGAATGGGTTACAGTAATCCAAGGCGTTAGTTCTCAAGGTTGGGCAGTGCCGCCATTTGTCATTGTGGCAGGTAAAAACCACCTTGCATCTTGGTATGAGAATAGCGGATTTCCAGCAGATTGGGTAATCGCTGTTACCGCTGGACTACAAACGAGAGAGGTATGGATTGGATTCAGCATTTTGAGAAGCACACAAAGCCCCGGAGTGTTGGTGGTTATCGCTTGTTAGTCCTTGATGGTCATGAGAGCCACCACTCAGACAAGTTTGAGGAGTACTGCAAAGAACACAACATTATTACGCTTTGTATGCCTGCTCACTCTTCCCATATACTCCAACCACTTGATGTTGGCTGTTTTGGCCCATTAAAGAGAGCTTACGGTCGGCAAATTGAAGATATGATGCGGGCTCATATTATTCACATTACTAAGGATGACTTCTTTCCTGCCTTCCACGCTGCATTTAACATTGCAATGACAGAAAGCAATATTCAGGGAGGGTTCCGAGGTGCTGGGCTTCTTCCATTTAGCCCTGAGAGTGTAATATCTACACTTGACCTTAGGTTTAAGACGCCAACACCTCCAACCTCTCGCCCAAACACCGCTCAACCATGGGTTTCTCAGACACCAAATAACCCAACTGAAGCTGTATCACAGTCTACTTTCATTAAAAACCGAATTGCGCATCATCAAAATAGCTCTCCAACCTCAATCTTTGCAGCTGTTGACCAGTTTACAAAGGGTGCATCGCAAATAATGCATCAATTAGCATTGTTAAAAGCAGAGAACCAAAACCTGCGACAGGCAAATGAAGTGCTAAGCAAGCGCCGGAGAGCTAAAAAAACACGACTACAGCAAGGAGGATCACTTAGTCAACAGGTAGCACAGGAGCTACAGGACGAGAGGGACGTTGTGCAGCAAGTAGAGCAAGAAATAAGGGCAAGTAGTGGTCGGAAGCCAAGGGAAGAAACCCATGCACGTCGCTGTGGCAAGTGTGGTGAGACTGGACACAATGTGCGCACTTGTCAGATTGTAATAGACAGGTCTGAGGAAGAGGACTCCGAGTAGTTTTAATTAATTTATATTGTTGTGGTGGATTTATCGCAATTCTTATGGGGTAGTCGCGATATTTTGGCACTTTCGCTTGTTTGGCACTTTCGTTATACATGCACGTTATTCTTACTTTAAAACAACCCTGAATCCAAATTATCTTCTGTCCTGTCTGTAAATATGTCCTCATCCAAGCCACTAAATCTTATAAGTCCAGTCTCATCGTCGTCGTCTACCTGTGATCCCGACCACCCTATTGTTGAAATCAATTGAATATTGGCATCTTCTTGAATCTCTGACTCCTGTGCAATTTTTTCAGGATCAGGAATTGGATTAAGTAAATCAGGAGGCACCTAACCAGTCCTCTACCGCCGAAATATCATGAGTTGTAACTCGAACTTGAGCAATCGCTTTCGTTTGAACGACTCGAAAAAGGTTAGAATGGCTTTTTATAAAGCCCTGAAACCAGCGCCATGAAGGCGCTGGTTTCTAACCATTGCTCTTGATGCCCCGTAACCTGCATGATACGAATCTTCGACATATTTGTATATCGCCTTAATTTGTACCTCCGAGAGTATCTTATTTTGTCCTCCGCGTTTAGAAATAGGAGGCAATATTGGGGCTTCGGCGGCTTTCAACTTCGCTCGTCGAGTATAGAAATTAAGCGTCTTCGTATTAACGTTATAAATTCGAGCGGCGGTGATTGGCTTTTCGGAAGGGTTCTTGCGAAGGAATTCGAGTGCTTGGTCCATTATACAGTATGACGGGATGCAATTTCGCTTTCCGGATGCACTTCGCTTTCGCCGACCACCTGTATGGTGGTCGGTGCGAACACCGACGATTACCTAAATTGTAAGAGTATTGAAATTGTGGGCGAGCGCGGTGAATAAATAGCGATGTAAGCTACCTTATTTAGCGGCCTCCTTGCCGTCACATTGTTAAATGGAGCTTAATGATTGTAGCCCTGGGTGATTGTAGCCCTGGGTGATTGAACTTTTACTTAAGTTACAATTGCTGTAATCGCCGTTGTTTACGAAAAGCCCCTCTCCGGATTTTTGAGGAGAAGGCTACCCCACTAAAAATCTAAACCCCTCGTTTTAAGGTTTGGCCACTAACTTCAAAAAATAGACCCCACTAACACTCCCCAGCACCATGACAAAAATATAGCTTCAAGGAACCCCTAGCTATCCGCCGGAGCTCAGCCAGTCCCCAAAAATGGATGCCGCAGAGGACGACAGAGATATCAAGCTCCAAAAGCTAAGCTCCACCTTCATCGCCGACTTCGAACTCTCCCTCCACCCCTTCCTCTACCGCACCACAGCAGATGGCACCTCGAAAGCCCGCCGCAACGTGCGCGCACGCGAAGCTGACCGTCTCGTCGGCCTGGTACCCCCCAAAACACCCCCCCGGCCCTCCAACTACCACCAGCCAGCTGACCCTTGTATCTAGCTTGAGCCCTTTCAAGAGCTCCCCCAGCTGCTTGACCCGCACCTGGGCCGCTTCCTGCCCATGCTAGCGGACGCACTACTGGCGTACCTACGCGCGCCGCCGCGGAAGAGGGGCGCGGACCGGCCACAGCTCGTGACGCTTTCGCAGGCAATTTGTAGGCTGCTCTATACGTTTTGTAAGATCCGGGGAGAGAAGGTCGTGGTAAGGTTCTTTGGGGCAGAGACGAAGAATCTGGAGTTATTGCTTAATGCTGTTGAGGAGGCCGAGGGGGGCAAGGACGCGGGGCAGGGAGAGGAAGGAGAGAAAGAGTGGACATGGGAGGAAAGGTACATTTGCTTGCTGTGGCTGTCGCATCTGCTGTTGGCGCCGTTTGATTTATCAACCATTTCGTCGGCGGGCACAGGAGATGTGAAGAGGCCGGATATAGCGAACCTGGTATGGCCCGAGAAGCTTCCAAGCGTGGCAGAGCGGGCCATCCCGCTGGCTATCAAGTATCTGGGAGCAGCAGGGAAAGAGAGGGATGCGGCGAAGGCGCTGCTGGTGCGCTTTTCTATGAGGCGGGATATGCAAGCGCTGGGGCTACTGGATGCGCTTGTACAGTGGGAAATGGCGTGTCTGAAGTCATCGACAACGCTGGCGACGAACTCGTCATACTACTACATTGGCGTGCTGTCATATCTGGCTGGAATCCTGATCTCGTCGCTCAGCACGGCGGATATGGATCCGTACCTCCTCAAGGTCTTCCGCACGGTACAGAATATTTCGGACGAGGAGAATGTTGCATTCAAGTCTGTGCATGCGTCTGCGATTGCGAGGAAGACTGTCATCAAGGTCCTCCGCACCATTGCCGTCTTGGCACTTAGGAGGGAGTACTCATCCAAAGGGAACGAGGTGATCACAACCGAGATCGTCGAGTCAACAGTTGGCTATCTCCTGGACGCCCTGGCCGATAACGACACCCCCGTTCGGCTGGCAGCCAGCAAAGCCCTCTCAGTCATAACACTGAAGCTCGCCCCTGACTTGGCTTCCCAAGTCGTCTCCGCCGTCCTCGACTCCCTCACCACCAACATTCTCTGGATCACCCTCCCCGACGGCACAAAGACCCAGGACCTCACCGCTGTCAACCCCCAAGAATGGCACGGACTTATCCTAACTCTCTCCCACCTTCTCTACCGCAAATCCCCACCTCCTGACTCCCTCGCCCTCATCCTCCACGCCCTCCTCACTGGACTCACCTTCGAGCGCCGCTCCACCTCCGGCAGCTCAGTCGGCACCAACGTCCGCGACGCAGCCTGCTTTGGCATCTGGGCCCTCGCGCGCCGCTACACTACCCGTGAGCTACAGGATGTCGTCATCGCCGAGGTCAGTGCTGCCACAGCTCAGACCAGAGAAAAATTGATAATCCAGATCATGGCCACCGAGCTTGTCGTCGCCGCCTCCTATGATTCAGCAGGGAATATCCGTCGTGGTGCGTCGGCTGCACTGCAAGAGTTAATTGGACGACACCCGGATATTGTCACTGAGGGCATTGCGGTCGTGCAGGTAGTAGATTATCACGCTGTTGCGCTACGTTCGAGAGCTATTCTCGAGGTTGCGCCTGCAGCGGCTAGGCTGGGGGGTTGTTATGCAGAGGCGCTGATGAGGGCGCTGTTTGGGTGGCGTGGGGTGGGGAGTGGAGATGCGAAGTCGAGAAGGATGGTGGCCGGGGGTGTAGGAGAACTGGTGAGGTTGTTCGGCGGGGGTGGGAAAGAGAAGCCATGGCGGAGGGTACAGGAGTTGATTGGACAAATCGACAGGCAGTTGGGGAATTTGAAGGCTAGGGCTATAGATGAGAGACACGGGTTGGTGCTGGTAATGGCAGCAGCTGCTGGGGTGATTCCTGCGCTCTTGAGCGCAGATTCCGTGAAGGAATGGGAGGATCCACTGGATGCGGTGAAAGCGATTCTGCGAGTGGTTTTATCGACACTGAAGAGTGCTATGGCAGCGACATCTCGGAGGCCCGAACTTGGCCTTGAGGCTACATGCAGGCTGATTGTGGCTGCGTGCCCGATTATTAGAATGGAAAGGGTGCTTGACTTTATGAAGCGCCGCTCTAATGCTTCTATAAATACAGTAGCTTGGGAGAAGATTCTGCGCAACGAAGCCACCACAAAATGTAGCCCAGACGACTCATTCGACCCAATCGAGGTTCGAGAGATCGTTGAAGCCTCGGGATCCATTATCGACGCCTCCCTCCGCCTCACCGATCCCGACACCATCGAAGCCGCTGTTGACGCTGCAACAAGCCTAACTCTCATCATCCCCACCGCCGCTAGCGAATCCCTCATCCACTCCTGGGCCGTCGCCGTCACAGACAATTCAAGTCGCACCCGACACCCCGGCTACCTCTTTGTTCTTGCCAGCGTCTTCACCCACACCCAGTCGCAAGACGCAATCTGTACCCTCATCTTGAGCCAATGGCAACAGGCCACGAACATTGTAGACCGTGTGTCTATCTTACAGTGCCTCAACCGCGCGCAGATCTTGGATTCCCACACTGCGCGCTTCATACCGTTGATTGCTGAGGGACTGGACGACTATACGACTGATGCCCGTGGGGATATCGGGTCTCTTGCGCGGATTGAAGCGCTGAAGGCTACAAGTAAGGCTTTTGCTACGATTCCGTGTGATGCGCAGAGTGGTGCTGTGGTACGGGATGGCAATGAAGAGTGGTTTGCCGACGAGGACCTCTTCGGCTCCCTCTACAGCCGCACGCTACGCCTCTCAGCAGAGAAACTCGACAAAGTCCGCGGCGAAGCACAAACCGCGCTGGCCATCCTAATCCAGGATTCCATGTATGTTTTCTTCCCGCCTTCTTAATTACAAACTTAAACTAACAAACCATAGCCAACACAGCGCCTTCACCTCCGCCAACCACGTATCCCGAACCTACTTCCGCCACCTCCTCGACCTCCAACTCCCCTCATCCGCCTCCTGGCTATCCAACACCCACCTCCATCTCCACCAACGCTGGACCGACCATCTCTTCGATGGCTACGTCAGCGCTGCCGACTCCGGTGCCGAGGGCCTCATCCGTGCCTCCCGCGCTGCCCTAAACGACTTCTGCTTCGCCGCTCCCGCCAACCGCGAACTCGTCTGCAACACGCTCGTAGGGTCAGTGAAGCGCCTCCACGATGCGGGAGACGAGCGCGTGCTGCTCCCTATGATGTCTGTTGTTGCATTTCTGTTTGATGCGGGGATTTTGGAGGGGGGGCATAAAGGGTTGAGGGGATTGTTTTTAGCGACACAGCGAGCGCATTTTAAGAGCGGGAATGTAAGGAAGTTGGAGGTTGCAGTGAGGGTTTATGGGGGGTTATTAGGGGTGATGGAGGAGGAGAAGGAGGTGGAGAAGGTGTTGGTGAGGATGCTGAGGCATCCGTTTCCGGGGGTGAGGAAGGCGGTGGAGGATGTGTTATGGGTTGGTAGAGGAGTGGGGAAGGGTGGGGTGGGGGTTCAAGGGGTGAAGAAGGCATTGGAAGAGAAGTGGGAGAGTGGTGGTGAGTGATGCTAGGGTTATATTTGGGAAAGCTGTATAAAGTTGCCGCACCTAAGATAAATTGAAATAACATTCTAGTTTAAATCTATGCTATGAAATACTGGCGCTGCTTAGCAACCCACTTAGCAACCCAGTTTGCTCTTCATAGGTAGCACGGCTGTAGTGTGTAGAGTAGATAAGGAGCGCTGTGCTCTTTTTGTGGTAGTTGTAAGACGCTGTGGTGATTGTAGAAGGCGATAGGCGCTATGCTCATTATGATAATCGTGAGGCGCTGCGATGTTTATGATAATTGTAGGGTGCTGTGGTGTTTGTCGGATAGGCTCTACAACAGGTGCTAAAACACAGAAACAAAATCAATTCATAGTTATTGATGTCCCTAGTTTCCCGTACTCCTGTTAAATCCTGTTCTCGTTATCCTCGTTATTTATCAGCTACACATATCCTCGTTATATATCCTGGGTATACCTAATCCAACTCCATCGTCATCAATAATACATAGTAAAAACATAACCCAAAGCGTCCACCCACTAACTCCGTCTCTGAAGTCTCAATCCCACCTTCTCCTCCTCAAGCAAATACCCCTTCCTCCTATCTACCTCCTGCACACCCGCCACCATCTTCTCGAACTTCTTCCTCCGCTCCCTCCCCCCTTCCCCACAGAACGTCATCTTCACATGGTTCAACTTCTCCTTCTCCCCTCCACCCCGAGGATCATCATAATGCGCCCCCAAAGCCGCCAAGTTCACCATCTTGCCCCTCCACCACTCCGACACAAGCGCACCCGTACCAAATCGTTTCGCAGGACCCATAATAGAAGCGTGCGTGCATGGAGTGCCGCCTTTCTGACACGAACAGTTCCTCTTATCTACCACGGCTTTGAGCGCCCCAATAGGGATCTTGAGCAGGGCAAGGCCGTCATCGCTATCGCCCATCTCTCCACGCGACGAACGCGAGGGGTTCAGCTTCTCAGGGCGAAGGAACATCACCAGGAGCGGCTCGCGCAGGGATTCGAAGATATAGGCTTCGGTGTTGCTGTCGCGCGGGTCGGAAAGTGAGGTTACGTCTGCGATGGTGGTTGCCGCACTACGAATTGAGAAAGAGGTGGCCTTTGACGTCTGGTAGGAACTTTTGGAGGAGAAGAAGATGGATTTGCGTGGTGAAGAAAGGCGGGCAGATGAATCGTTGGAGGATTGGCGGCTGGCCATGGAGGCATTGGAATTGAATGGTGCGCGTATGGTAGTTGCTGACGTCGCGGGAGAGGGACTGCCGTAGGGAATGGGCAAGGGGCTCTGTGCAGGAACGCTGGGCGAGAAACTCCAGATCTGGATGCGCGCCTTGTAATGTGTTGGCTTGTCGGCCATGACAATCACGTCGACGTCAATGATATCGTCGACGATACGGTAGCCTGTAATGGCTTCTTGAAAGCTGTAGAGAGATTGATATGTCTGGAAACTAAGGAGGTTGTCGTGCGTGGGCATGCCGGATGTGTAGAGCCCGATGTCTATACCAGAGGTCTGATTTTGAGGATCCGCATAAATAGGACTGAGAGTAACGGTACGGAGGTTAATTTCCCGACTGGACTATCTGTTAGCTTGGGTAGTATAAAGACCGTAGGGGGAGGGGGAACACTTGCGATCGTAATTCTCTAGTTCGCTCCAATACCGAGGTCTCTTTAGTAATCATTTCGAGGATAGTCTCGGTCTGGCGGAGTAATACAAGAGACCTTTGTCGTTCAGGGTTCAAGTGCAGCAGCGGAGTCCGTAAAATTGTCTTCATATCGTCTATTTCCGTTGCATGAGGACGGTCATAACTGCGCACAGGTATAGGCCAGGTTAGAAAGGCCTCTTCTCCTAGTAGGCTTAGAGACATTTCATCCGGTTCGTTTTTAACCCTGTACGGGTTTGCTGGCCTATCCGCGTGTTGATTGAAGGCGTACAAACACTTTTTGGCCAAGTCTTCGACAAAGTATTTCAGAAGCTGGTTACCACGTGCGCAAGAGTCCACGTATTCGGCGCTGCTTTCGATTTTTTGGATGATCCAGATGCTCCTCATCATACCAACATATTGCCTGGGCCACTGGGTTGGGGAAGCTGGCTGGACACCACGTGAACGCGACAGCCTAGCAGCCGCAGTCTCTTCCTCGTAATGCTGAAGGAATGCATTGATGCCATCATGCATGGGGAATGTATCACCAGGTGAAGCTCTTGGTTTGGCATCGATGGATAGCTTTTCAAATTTGTGGAGTAAATATGGTGGTATGACAATCTGCTGGCATCGAACATCTTCCTGGGCGCCAATCGTTCGGGCATCTCCAAGTATAAGCTCCTTGATCTGGCCCAATACCAGTAGCATGGCTTCGCCATAATGAATCACCAGAGACTGGATATCGAGGAGTAGTTTTCTGTTAAACTGTTAGCAGCATGTCTTAGAAATAGGAATGATAGCGACTCACAGCTCGAGGGGCTTCAGTAGCGCGATGATCTTGATATTATGAAACATGACCTTCTTATGAAGCAATGTAACTTCGTCCTGGACAAATCCGTGCCAGATTATATTGCTGATGAAACCGCCCTTCTCTTCGAAGCAGTCTCGCCTTGTTAATAACCGCGAACATTCTTGGACAGTAGTGTAGGGATCATCGAGTATTGCGTTAAGATCTCTAGTATCATAAAAACTAGAGGTTCCTGGGATAGGGCACGGTGGAATGCTTTGGACTTTCTGGAAGATTATTTCCAGTTGATGGAGATTCACAGAGAGGGCGTGGACGGATTGGCCGAATTCGGTGTATTGAGCGTCTGTGAAAAACAGAGGTCAGCATAGTCCACATCGTCATCTACAAAGTAAGTCGAACTTCAGAAGATAAGAATGCGACGGGTTTATTTGGTGACATTACAGTGCTTACTTGAGTTATAGATTTCCGTGAAGCCATACTGATAGAGTTTAAACGTGAAATTCGCACACTTGGCGATATCGCTAATGCTAATAAAGGACATCGTCGTGGCACGCGCTATTCAGCGCCCAATAAGTGTGTTTCGAGTTACGGAGTATCGTTGTCATAAGATCAACAGAATGTCTGGGATGGGGTGCAAGGGCTGTTTTAAGTATGACTTGGGGCGGAGCAATCCAGTTGAAGGCAAGGCAGCTGTAGGTTCACGGGTACAAAATAAACAACATGCATGTCATTCAGCTCTAGCCGAGCACGATCCGAGTCTTTGGTAACTTCGGGAAAGGGTAAAAAGGAGATATAATGGAGCTATATGCAGGGACTCGCGTCCGTCACAAAGGAGGAAACCAACTCCAACTCCGTGGGTGGGTGATCAGGCTGGCGGCTCGGTGTTTGCGTAACCTTTGCGTAGCTGCTCCGCGCGTGTAAGCGGCGGTCTTGTGAGGAGGAAGGAACGCCTGGATGTGTGTCTCCCTTATCTCTTGTTCTTGAGCGGCTTATGCACTTGTGCCCCTGTCGTCCTGTTCCAAGGGGGGCTGTGAAGAGCAAACCGAGGAAGAGAATCGATGACGAGCATACCATTTGTCCTGGCCTTGTCTCATTCACCGGCCCGTGACGACCCAGTGGTGGTCATGGTGGGTGGATGCAGTGTTTCGACAACTTCTGCCTTACACTGTTACACTACTGCACTATTCCAGTCCGAAGGGGAAGTGAGGCTGGTGTGAGGCTGTGAAGGTGCAGGGCCAAGACGACGTAGATGCTCATGATTGACGGGGAGCTGGCAGTTGGCACGCGACATGGACATTAACCAGATTAACTGCATCAACCCCATACACATACCCCATGCCCGAACAGGAATAATTACGCGATTCAGCACTCAATATTGAACAATGACCAGTTCTTGAAAGGCTAAGGAAGCGCTAGATCTAGTGAGTGCTGCTCGAATTGTATTTTTATAATTATATCATTTAAGTTAAACAAGATTTATACATCGTCTCTGGATGGTTGTTTGGAAATTACCATACTCGCTCGCCATATCATACAGAGCCGAGCATGCACTCGCCCATGTACGATGTATCACTTCTGGTCAACCCGTGGCAAGGCTCTCCAGCCTCCCAGCCTCCCAGCCTCCCACAAGCCTAAACGCCACGAAAACAATTCAATATGTAGCGCCCTGCTGTGTAGGTGTATGTTATATCTTCTTCGCCTGCCACACTTCTGTTGGTATTCTGTGCACCCTGTAGTCTCATTTATATATGCCTCGGATTTGACATGTCGATACCGATCGAGCAAGGCTCGAATATTCCAATGACAGACTACTCCTACTCCAACTCGCCTTCTCCCTTTAGCATAGCTAAAAGCGACGATAATGGCCGCAGCGTAGACAGCGTTAGCCCTATACCTACTAACCGCCAGGCTCACAACCGTGAGTCGAATACGCCGGCTTATGGAAATGGAGTCCCAGCTACTCCCCCCGATCAACCGGGTGGCATGGGCCTGGCACCCGAAGATGAGTTCTTGCTCAACGAAGCCGATGTCCACGCGAAGGCTGTCGCAAAGCCGATGCGTCTGGGCTCTCTAACAGTTATGTGCTTGATTTTTAACCGCATGATTGGTGGGTGTCCAAAGCTTTCCTTCTGAGGCACTGAATGAAGCCGGTACGTTCTAACTCTCTAAATAGGCACGGGGATTTTTCGGACGCCAGCCGTGGTCTATAGTTATACACAGTCCCGGGACATCAGTATGGCTTGGTGGGCACTAGGTGCTGTTTCTGCCATAGCTGGTATTCTGGTGTACATGGAACTCGGCCTCACCATTCCAATATACAGGATTGGCGGCATAGAAGTCTCGGTCCCACGAAGCGGAGGAGAACTCAACTACGTTTGTCTTCCTCTAGTTACTGACAGGTGCCAGTACTAACATGGTGCCCAGCTCAAACACATATTTAGAAAGCCCGCCTTCTTCACTACTTGCGTGTTCGGCATTGCTTTCATTCTCCTCGGCCATGTGGCTATGAATGCGATCGCTTTCGCAACCTCTGTCATGGAAGCATCAGGCCAAATCA